TGTACCATACAAATGAAATAAATAGCAGCATTACTGTCAAAGATTACTAATGATTTGCCTCCAGTTCCGCACTAAAATTAAAACACGGCTGTATATTTTAGGCTCAAGTAATACGCATATATGAAATGAGAATAAGCAGTAAAGAAATGACAAGTAACACCCAAAAATAAACAATAGCAAAATAAACTTTTACCAGACATGACTACCATAAATGTACTGGTATTTTATGTTAACAGCACATCGAAAGTCAAAACTTACCAGATTCATTCCTACGATCAAGTGCGCAGCGACGCCAACTCAGCATACAGCAGGTGACACATAAGCTGCTGCATTGTTGTTGTTGTCCAAGTCAGGTACACCTCCAGGCCGATAATCTTCCTGCAACAAACCAAAGACGCAATTTTATAGTCAAAGAAACAGGATGCAAAAGAGGCTGAAAGCACGCAATTTCGACAGAGGAGGTCAAAGGCGACTCTCCTAGACCAATTCCAATCATTTCCAGCGATTTTTATTTTTTTCATTTTTGGCCAAATTTACAAAGGCCTTCCCCTTTTTAGCAAAAATGGGTGGGTCCGGATTTCGACGGAAAAGTAGTCGAACCGACAGGGGTGAACCAGGGGACCACAAAACTACTTTTGGTTCCGCCAGAAACCACCCCTGTCCAGAGAAACTTGAGTTTTAAGGGGTGGTCTTTTGAATCTGGCGCGCGAGCCGGTCCGAGAAAAACAGGCGTAACTCACTTAAAATGGCCCGGCGGCGACAGAAACCACCCCTGTCCAGACACACTTGAGTTTTAAGAGGAGTTCTTTTGAATCTGGCGGGTAGCGTACGATGGGCTGCCTACCTCGCAGGCGAACCAGGAGAGTTAAGTCTCCTGGGCGAACCGGTCCAAGAAAAACAGGCGCAACTCACTTGAAATGGACCGGCGGCGCGAAATTTCGACATTTCGACCACTTTCAGCGATTTTCAATTTTTTTCATTTTTAGCAAAATTTACAAAGGCTATAAATTGATGGGTCCGGATTGCGATGGAGGAGTATTGGAATCGACAGGAGTGAACCAGGCACCACAAAACTACCTTTGTTTCTGTCAGAAACCACCCCTGTCCACAGAAACTTGAGTTTTATAAGAGCTGGTCTCTCTAACTAAGGGCGGGTAGGCTATCAAAGGCGCACGGGCTAAGAACTCTGCTGTAGTGAGTCGGCACCATGATATTTAGATAGATCAAGTGAAAGGGAGTTTGCCGGACCAATCCAAACAAATTCCAGCAGTTTTCCAAATTGCCAAGATTTTCAAAAGACATTTCCAGTGATAACAGATCAGCCTGGATTTTGACACAGTAGGATTGAAATCGACAACAAAGAACCAAGGCACCACAAAAAACATCAAATACCACCCTTTATGATGCACACGAAAGGAAGCTCCTCATAGTGGAGACAAATTAGACCAGCGTTTGCAGTTACTGTCATGTCATCTCACCTATTCTTTTGGGTAAAATGACTCCATAGACTTCTCTTGCTCATGTCAAGAACATTTCTGGACCAAGTTCCTGCAATCATATTAAACGGTACTTTTAGCGCTCATCAACTATTAATTACATATAATTTACTCATACATAAATGCCTCTCCCCCCATGCGTCTCTAAATGACTATGGTCTTTCAAATAACTAATTTTGGCACTGGATTAAACATTAAGTACGAAGTGGCAGCTGCAAATTATCTGCAACGCACAGTGATTGATTGTTTGGGGGATTACGCAAATAGTACCACTCGGTTTGCACCCTAATCAGAAAGTAATAAAGTTTTCTGTTCCACGAGAATAAAATAGAGTAAAATTTATGATATGTGATAAAACACTGGCAGATTCACCCATTTGCATAAGGACCAACGACAGTAATTAACATGCTGCATGGATTGGAGGAGTCTACACATTCAACACCTTTTTAACAAAGCTGACAGTGAGCCAAGTTATTTACATCACGGGCATCATTTACTCGGCCTCAAAAAATAACTTATAACTTAATTGTGCGTGTAAAAATTGAGCGACAGGAGCATAACCTCCTACAACAATAACCGGAATGGAACAATTCAATATTCCGGACCGGGAACAAGTAAGCACTATACCTTGCGATGAATAACGAAAAGCGGCGATGTCCACTCTAAAATTCTGGTTGGAATCCTGTGATCAATAATTATATGAGTGGGTATTATCGGTTGGCAGAAACGCCGATCGAGACACTGACTTTTTCTGGGTAGGAGACTGGGCGAGGTGGGGGTGGGGAGGAGAGGGGTCGGGGAAGCGGCACGGCAAAGGGGGAGAGCAATAATTACGGCATACTCACCGACATATCGTGGTCGCGGGATGTGATTCTTTCCTGGGGTAGGCAACGGTAGGCAATCCCGCCTCGCTTGTCCAGGATGTGATCCTTTGGGTATGCCTTCCGTCCCGTGCATCGTTGTGTGGCTCCAGACGGCAACGCCAGGGAAGTGCCATGTGACAATAGTGAAATGATCAGGATAATAAACTATTATGGGCGATTATTATATTTGGCGACTTTTAAGAAATATGCACCAGCCGGGGTACACGACGTTTGGAGCCGAATCGTATTTGTCGTAGGAGTGTCATCGGCGTGCTCGGGAGGTCCCCAATGACGTCCCCGGGGCCCGGACGACATCGGCACGACCAGTTTGGACTCAGCGTGCGAGAAAACCCCTGAACACGATATCTCAGTCGTCCTGGTCGTTCCGAGGTTGACGGTCGGTCGGTCGGTCGGTCGGCCAAACCGTATCTTATTTCGACAGCCCCAGATCCGAGAGCGGTGGCGCACTACAGACAGCAGCTCCACGGCGTGGCGGGAACCAAGACTTGTTCAAAAGTAAGTTAATTTACTTATGTTAGTGAAATAGCGTAAGTTATTTCATTTACCCTTTTCCATGCCCGGAACTGCAGTTAGGCACTTTTGCCCTCCTGGATGGTATCTGTAACTGATCTAGCTCTTAATTCAACAACTGCCAATAAATGAAAAAAATAATGTAATTAATTATTTTATTTATTTTATTTACTAACTAAAATAGATAAACTAGGTTCGGACAAATGAGCTTGGGACAATTGGGGCGCCCCCCTTAAGTTGACAGCCGCGTTGTGGTGGGATCATCCAGAAAGTTTGTCGGCCATTTTTCGCTGGGGCGTGTAAAGTTAAGTGCGGGTGAGCGTTTACGTGAAGTGAGCGCTCACGTGAGAGATGTGCGGCACCTTATACTAAGCGAAATTTGCTAATATTTTTGAAGAACTACAATCTTCGTACTCTCCTCTTTCCAAAAACGTATGGGTTTGTCAATTTTCAGGTCATTTGGCTTCGTATAGGGCCCCTCTCCTTTCGCACTTCGACGCTCATCTCATACCCAGTGAGAAATTTATCCATACGACATCGTTTCGACATCGTTTTTCATGTCGTTACGACTTAAAAGTGGTCATGAAATCGACGGCTTTTCGACAGTGAAACGTCGAGACGGCATCGAAACGACATCAACTGTCGAAAAGCCGTCGATTTCAGGACCACTTTTAAGTCGAAACGACGTAAAAAACGATATCGAAACGATGTCGTCGGAAACAATTTCTCACTGGGTAAGGCGCCGCACATCACACATCACTTACGTGAGCGCTCACTTCACGTGAACGTTCACGCGTACTTAACCTTACACGCCCCTGCGAAACTGCCAACTTCAACTAATGCAGCTGGCTAATGCGAGCTCTCATAGCGCCTGATAGGTAGGCAGCATCTTGCCTGCACTGCATGCGTTCACTGCAGGGTGGCCTACCCTGAGTATCGCAGGCGCTGAGCTCCTGCACGTCAAACCAAACAGTGTAGTACTTTTGTACACACAAGGAAGAGTCGACGCTTGCAAGCACACACATACAAGTCTGCACATCCCATAGAATAGTTGGGTTTGCAGTGTGTAATTTGCCGAATGGGCCTGATTAGCTCTCTTCTGTGTCAGCTACGCCTTACATTGCTTTACTTGAAGCCATGGGCGTCGAGCTTCGCGGGCAATCGGAGCCAGCTCAATTTAAGTTGAAGAATGAATTTATTCCTTAGCACCAAATTAATTTTGAGTTCTACTATCCCTTGTTTCATAATATATAGAGAGTGAGTGGTAGGAAAGGACGCAACTCAGGAAATACTTGAAATACTATAGTTCCATGTATATTAACAGTCTTCGTATCATTTAAAATTTGTAAAACAAACACGAACTACTGAAAGTAATTTACATAATACTGTAGGAGAATATACTTATTTGTTGTATTATTTACATCTTTCCATTTAACTTAACATTAACAAATGCGCAACACAGTGGCCTATTTAAAAGATCATATACGAGTATACAAAGTTTAGAAAGTGAATAAAAAGTATATTTTTAAAGAGGTATAAAAATGTCATCTTAAAATGCTATTTAAAACGGTTACAAATGTTAAAAACAAGCGAGCCGTAATCAACATGCCCCGTTTTTGACAGCATACTCCACCTAGGGGTCGGTAGTTTATGTTTTCATCTCCTACAAACATGTAGACATGGTTATATCCGGGGATCCATACAAATTATGTTATTATACCAATGAGTACAGTACCGAACCCACAGAGTTCCAGATAGCGTTTCGCCAGTTACAGAAGCTGATTTGATCTTCATGATTCTGTTTGTACTAGCTAAACGAAACTGAGATGCATTTTCCCGCATGAAGTCTTGCAGAAGGTTCTTTCCCCGCTGTAACTTGCACCATCTTTTACTAGCGTTCTCTTGTTTCAGTTTCTTTAAACATTCCTCTAGGATTTGCGCCGCCCCGGTGTATATCTTCACGTGAGGCAGCGGCTTCTTCGGCATGGAAGCAAAGAAACGGCGTAGTAATGGATTACTACCAAACAGCCCTTCCATCAGGTCCACGTCCCCACTTTCAACTGCGACGTTTATATGAGAGATTTGGATCATTTTAAAAACGCTTTCTAAATCAATTCCAGCTGCAGACATCATGACCTTGTCTAACATCATCTTAAGGAGTAATTCAGCCTTGTCCTTTGCCAGCCCACCAGCGGCTGCTGCCAAATCCAAGCATGTGTTCCCTGCTTTGTTTTTCTGATACACAGTAACTTTTCTTTTAATGCCACTTTTATCATTGGCTGTCATTAACAGCTCGAGAAGTCCCTTTTCTTGCTCCAATAAATACCTGACAATGGGGAGCGAATCTGACTTCATGCTAAAGTGTAACACAGTACCGCCGTCTCTCTCATCTTCTGCACTTTGCAAGAAATCCAAGCGACGTTTGCATTCTTCCTCGCCAACCTTGGGACGGTCCTTCAGATTCGCTGGCAGGGGTGGCAGCAGACATTGGATGACAGGAAGATGGCCATAGTAGGCAGCCATATGCAGGGGAGTGCGAGTGCGCGTGTTGGTCTCCATGTTGTGAGGTTTTGCTCCATGCTTCAAAAGACACTCCAGCACTGCAAGATGACCGTGTTCGGCAGCAAAGTGAACAGCATTCCATGTCTTGTCCCATTGGGGCGGTGCGTCGACATCTGCGCCTTCCGCTATCAGGAGCTCAACGACAGCTGTGTGTCCCTTGAGCGCAGCAAGACATAGGGGCGGCATTATGAGCCTCCGCCCTGTCCGCAAGGGATGGTCCTCGGGAATACTACGAAGCAGGATAGCCACTGTCTGCGGGAAGCCCCATCCCGCTGCCAAATGAAGAGCAGTCTTATCTGTATTATAGTTTCCGATTGGATCTGCACCCTGTTTGATGAGGCATTGCACAATATCGTGTGAGCCAATTTTAGCGGCAACTTGGAGAAGTTTGAAGTCTCCATCAACAGTGGAGTTAATGAGCTTATCAGTATTCTGCTTTGAACAGAACTCTGACAGAAACCAATCCATAATTTCCCCAGAGCCCCCCTCTACGACTGAAAGGGCGACTGTTTTCAATTCTTCCCAGGATATGTGGCCCCTATTTCTGAGCTCTTGAAGCAAATCGTGAAACACTTGATATCGCCCCGTCTCTGCGGCGAATTGGCATGATTCTAAGCAATTTGAGCGTGGGTGTTCACGGAGTAAACATTGGACGGAAAGGGCATTGCCTGACTCTGCTGCAGACATCAGCGGCGTCTTCTGTCTAGCAGGACTCAAGCTTCCAACAGTCTTTTTATGCAGAAGTTTCATGACGGCTGTGTGGCCGGCTGCAGCAGCAAGGTGAAGTGGTGAGCATTCTGAGTAGTCTATGGCAGACGGTAGGGCTTTCTGGTCCAAGAAAAACGCAACAACCGACAACAGGCCACGCGACGCAGCGACGTGTAGTGGGGTTCGACCGGAGATGTCCTTTGTGTGCACTGCAAAAAAAAAAAAAGAGAGAGACAAAAACATTGGAGTTGACACAAAGTTGACACAAATCAAGTTCTGAACCGAGAAACACTTCCAAAAAAGCAACGGAAAGTTGAATTTCAGTCCCAGTGAGAAATTACATTTTAAATAATTTGGATAGCTTGATTTTACGATTTGTTACCCCTGACTTGGAGTTAAGCAGTGGATTGGGGCGTGAGAAGAATAAGCGGGGTATGGACAGTAACAGTGACGGGGTGCGGGAGAGCGCAACCCTGTGAGAAATGTTTCCGACGATATCGTTTCGACATCGGTTTTCACATCGTTAGCTATACTACAGTAGGGCTAAAATCGGCGGCTTTTCGACAAACAACATTGAAACGTTTGTCGAAAAGCCGTCGATAGCCCCACACTGGTAAAACAAGTGTGCATAATTTGCACACCAACGTGTGCAAGTTGTGATTTGGCACATTACATGGTATTTAACTCAAGTTGCACACTTGCGTGCGCGTGGTGTGCAAAATTTGTAGACGTTTTGTGAACGTTTAAATTCTGTGCACTTGGACACACACAGTTCTACAGGGTGGTCCATAGACCCCTTCCTTTATTTTGCTTATACTGTACCGGATGCAGGCGTGCGGCCGGGTTGCATACGCACACGGGGCCATAAGGCGCCGTGGTGAGCGACGGTAGGCAAGCCCGCCCGCACGCCTTCATGCGGTACAGTATAAGCAAAATAAAGGAAGGGGTCTGTGGACCACCCTGTATGTTATCAATAAATAGGAACCGTACGGTACGGTGTGCAGCGGCTATACTTTTCGGAAGTGTCGAAAGTTTGAACAGCAATTGACGTACAACATAGTTCGACACCACAATGTGTCTAGAAAATGCACACTTGAACTTTAAAAATCAACTGACGTGCAAAAATTTAACACTTGTTTTACCAGTGCACTGTACTGTAGTATCGCTAACGATGTCGTCAGAGCTCAGAGTGAGCAGGACATTGCCCGAAACCATAAATCGCACTCTTTCAACAGGCACACGCATCGGTCTCGTCGAGGGCTTTCACCTTCCGCCCCTCAAACTCGGAGAGGTGCGCCAGGGCGTGAAAACCGGTGTCGAAACGAAATGGTCGGGAAAATTTCTGACTGGGAAGCGGGTGGAAGAAACGGCACCCTTTCCCTCCGCGCCCCTCACCCCTAACTCCACGCTTTCGCGCTCTCCCGCGCTTGACTAAACGGAATGTAACGTAAGCGCATTTTTGATGTGAATGACTGCACCGGCGCTGAGGGTCGAGCGAGCGATCGGTGGGCCCATGCACTCACTGTTAAAGTCCTACAAAGCATTTGCTTTGCAGAGCTGCGAAGTATTTTGCTCCTTTGTAACTACGAAGCATTTACTTTGCAATTACAAAGTGATGCTTTGCAATTGCAAAGCAATGGAAACGCTGCAAAGCATCGCTTTGCAATTGCAAAGTGTCACTTCGTAATTGCAAAGCATCACGTTGTAATTGCGAAGTAAATGCTTCGTAGTTACAAAGGAGCAAAATACTTCGCAGGCTTTTAACAGTGCTCTTTTCCGATGTTTTCGTTTCTTAGTCTAATTAGTAAACAATTCTATGCAACGGTAGGTCACTGTGAAAAATAGTAGGTAGGTTTACAGGAAAATTTTCCTTGACGCAAGTTGTAAAATTACAATCTTGAATCGTAAAAATGCATGTAGTACGTATCGACTCCAAATCTATTGGTGAGTAAGAAATGTGCTCTCGTAAATTTACAACTTAAATTATAATTCCAGTTTACAATTTTTTTGTAAATTTACAACGATATTTTTTACAGTGGTAAGGTATCAATGAAATTGTTATCAGAGGTACCAACAAGTTTATTTACCGTTATCAACAAACGACCACTGTCAACGTGTGATGTGTGGGTGGAGTTCCTGCACGAGGTACTGTGTGGGTGAGAGACCCTGAGACTCTGCGCGTTCAGCGGCTTTCGATCGGCAAATCCTCGGAGGGCGGCCTGATCACCCACCCACCGTGTGAGGACCGACATGCCCTGGTCGTTGCAGTTGACCTTCCGCCCCTACAGTTTACCGCGGTCCGCGGTGGTCGCTGAGCTGAGTCGCTGCGGCCTGTGACTCCCTGACTCATTCCCAGTAGAGATCCCTTCCTCGCTCTCGGCCCGACTACCCGGATCTTTACAGTATCAACAATCTCGAAGCAATTTGTTAACAAAATTGTTTATACCCTATCGTCGCACATGCAGTGAGAAATTTTTACGACCATATCGTTCCGAAATCGGTTTGTTACGTCGTCAGCGATAGTAAAGTGCACCGCCGAATGGAGCGACACCGAAATTTGGGTGATATCGCAAAGTTATCGTTTTCATGTCGCATGTCGTTTTTGTGTCGCTAGCGAGCGACACAAAAGAATCGACGGCTTTTCGACAGACATCGAAACGACCTCGAAACGACATCGAAACGATGTCATCTGTCGAAAAGCTATCGATTTCAGTCCCACTATGGTATCGCTAACGACGTGAAAACTTTTTTAGCTTTAGAAAGGATTTATGACTGCTTGTTCATAGCGAGCTGGACCTCCCCATAACTCGAGGCAGGCAGCCAGGCCTAGGTCGGCCCATATCCTGCCCGCCACACTGTGCGGTGGTCGCGTCCGTGAGTTTGCGGCTGTCCACTCGCATCATTCCTCTGATCGCCGTCTCCGATGTCAAAATGATATCGTCGAAAAAATTCTCGTACGGGTGGGCGGGCAACCCTACGTCACTCAACGTGGCGCCTCAGGGCAGTTTGCAATCCACCCACAGGAGTGAATGTGGTACAGTACAAACAAGTAAAATTATGGGGTCCAATGGGAAACCCTGTATTCAGGTAAGGAATGACAAAGTCAGAGGAGAGGGCTGGTCTGCGAGCGAGCGGAGGGGTTGACCGAGGAGACAGTTTCACTTACCACTTAAACCAGCCTTGACTAGCTCCTTTGCGACATCAACGCTGCTAGCATAATGGAGTGCATTACGCCCATTCCAGTCCAAGCTGCCTTCCTGGAGCTCTATTTGCACTTCGCGAAGACGTAGCAAGTATCTGAGAACTTGCACGTGTCCTCTTTCAGCCACGACGTGCAAGAGGCCGCGAAGGCGCACGTCTCTACCTGCAAAGTCTGCACCCTTTTCCACAGCCAAACAAATATTTTCAAATTCACCCTTCTCAGCAAACCTAAACATCTCACATTTTAGTCTAGTAAGCTTCAGAATTCGTTCATTTTCCTCATCACTGTCTTTTTTTGGCCTACAAGGAGGTAAAACAACATGGTCCTGTTTGATATTAAGCACCATTCCCATAGCACGTAGTTCTTCACTAGGAGTAAAGCAAACATCGATAAATCTGTCCCCATGGTTTAAATAATTCCGCAGACGTTTCCCATATAAAACTGGCCAGAATATATCACTGATGGGCTGCTGCGACAGGTTCTGAATCTTTTGTACCTTCCCTTTTTCTTGCTTATTTGCCTGGTGATGTTTTGAAGCGATACCCGAAAACCAAGAGCTTCCGACTATCTGTAGGCCTCCTTCAATAATCAGTGAATCAACAGCCTCACTTGCATGCGTCCTTGACGGAGTGATGAGCTTCTTCAAAGAATCAGCAGCACATTTGTAATCATCTCTACGTCGGGAATCTGGGACGTTGTAATTTGATGGCAATTGAATAAGTTCCGAGAGAGCATCAGAGGTGCGATAAGACATGTAGGACCTAAATGCTTCAACAGCAGGCGACCAAGGAGGCAGATCACTAAAAGAGCAACCGAGTAATCTGTGAAACTCGAGGTGTCGAGAGTAATATGTCAAGCTTACAGATTTCTCTCTCGTTGCCCCCAAAATGTACTTCTTGCGTCTATTCACATACTCTCCCTGAAGTTTGTTCAAGTCGTGAATATCTTTCTTCAACCCCTCCCAAGTCATATACAATTCAACTGACCCTCCTCCTTCTTTCAATGTCCTACTCATTTCAGCAAGAACTTTCGTATAGACCGGAATCTCATCCTTCGTGTCCTTGAAATCAAAACAACATAATTCTGCTCGAGTGACGTCGCTTTCATTTAATTGTTTGTGGTCATAGAACTTAAGTAGCAGTTCCCATTCAGCATCAATAACTAGGACAGAGATCGCACCCCTCACCGACCGTAGTTCTTCTCTCATTTCTGCTCTCCGGGTTCCCTCTCTTAGGTTCTCCAGGCTGTGGCCTTTACCGTGGGCAAACCCATCACGCACAGATCTCAAAATCCTGTTTACACCGTTCGGAGCCAGGTGAATGATGGCCTGCTGATAGCGCTCCGACAGGTTAGGAGACTCCCAAGTGTTCTTCATTTTCTCACCCGCAACAAACAGGGCCCTGCGCAAAACAAGGAACCCATGATCTGTCCACTGCTGTTCGTTTTTATCCAGGACTTCAATTGCTGTCCCCAACACTTTATCAATCGCCAGGAGAGACTGCAAGTCTCTCAACACAGCGCAGTCGTCGTACAGCTGTCGCCAAAACATTTTCACGCTCGTTGTAATAAACAACGACCTGCTGACATTTGGAAGTTGATGTAATTCTTTTACATTATTCGTTGCGCAGTATTCCAGTAATGAGTTAACTTCAGTGATAAACATTAGGAGGTGGCAGTGCGTCCTCTCAACTGTTGCAACTAAAAAAGACCATGTGTCCAGTTTAGTCTGTGACTCAACAAAGGCAACAAGGAAAAATTCCATCTCTTCCCAAGGAACATGAACATAAGTTGCCTTTAGACGAATCTTGGCTGTGCGAATAGCCATCAGAAGGTATTTAGTCAGAGTAACGATTTCGTCGTCTACAGATTTGTCACTAGCCTCCTCCAGTCTTTCTTTTAGCATTTGAGCGCGAGTTATCACACTGTTAATTACATCACTGATTTCTTCACGGTACCAATCTGCTGACTGCGTTCCTCCAGATGAACCAGACCCTTCATTTGTAGACAATTTGCTTCCCATTTTATTTTTATGCTTGGGAACACCGTCTTCTGGATACTGTGCAACAAAACCACTCATTTCCTCCTGCTCGACATAGGATATATCACTTCGAAGTTTCACCAAATTTTGCAGGACGCACGCCTCATCTGTTTTGGATAAAGAAAGCCCTAGCGCTTTGGCGGAGCTCCAACCCTCGCTTATACCGCGCTCCAAATTGAGCATCCATTCTCTCCTTTCTTTTAGTGGAACACTTGCACTTATGCTTTCAGGGCTAAATTGATTAAATGTTTGCGTTCTTAAGAGAAAAAGAGTTGCTCGACGCAGTGCTATGTGATCCGCGGTCCAATTATTTTTCTCAACACTTGTCACATTTTTCTTGAACCGAGTTTGAAGTCCACTGAACCTAAAACCAGAGACGATAAAAATTAGATTAGATATGTAAGAGGTAAACACAAACATTTTCGCAGGGTCATATTCATTCGAAGCAGGGAACCCGCAAGCAAGTACATGACTTTTCTTGCATAGTTCGTATATTCATGACTGCAGTGAAAGCTTTAATAATCAGACTTTTCAAAAGGACTGAATACTCCTAAAAGATAACATTCACTTCTGTGAATTACCAGTGAAATAAAGTTAATAACGCCTAATTGTGAACACTGGACCCAGAAAGCACAGTAATAAGTTTGGAATATTGAAGAATATTCATGAATGCAAGGTGAAGTCACAGTTCTAAATTTAAAACATGGGGAAAACTATCACTGCATAAACAATCGAACCCTTTCTGCTTAGAACATCAGAGGGGTTCAATTCTTTCTGCACTGATAGTGCACCGTTTTCGGTGGTGATTATCCCTTCGAATCGTGTGCATACCGTTTGTGTTGTGCGCGCTTGAGCAGCAAAAGCTACGTGCTCGAAGGTAAAGCGGATTTAAAAAGCGAAATGAATCATTTACTCTCGTATATTTGGGGAGTGATACGGAACTGCGCGCTCTCTCTTTCTCTCCCCCCAGCTTGCAGATTATCTGAAAAGCCTGCGTGTTCAGCCTTTGGGAGATCACAGAGCGCCTGACAGGTAGGCAACGTATTGACTGCAGTGCATGTGTGAAGAGCGGGACGGCCTACCCCGAGTCTCGCAGGCGCTGAGCCTCCGCCAGCTCCGCGCCGCACCTCCTTTAGGCCATTCCATTTTTGGGCTCCAACTCGTAGATTTCCGAGGTCGGTGCTTTAAATGATAGATTTGACCTTGTAGTGAAGGTTGTACCAAGCATGGACGATATCGGGTGACGTTTTCCCGTCGCGCATCGCGATTTTTGTTTCGGGAGCCCAAACAGCCTTTTACACAGGGCCCTGTTGGAGGCACTCAGCGCCGACTTGGTGCGGCTAGGGAAGACGGCTTGAGGCTCATGTGTGACCGTAAGGACCCTCCTTCTGGACTGGCAAGTAAAATCCAGTGCCCAATCGCCCATGTGGCCATCAGGGGCTTGTCACGGCGCACTTGCAATGTGCTCTACGGAAGGGGTTTGCGATTTTCGATACTTCTCCTTTTCGGTAATTAGGGTCGTACTAAACCATAAGTAAAACCGCGAAAAACGCCGGGTAGCAGATGCGCGAATACTGTAAAAAGTTTGAAAAACTGGTATTTTGGCGCCTGCGGTGGACAGCTAGGCAATCCCTGGACACCTATGTGAAGCCGTGTGGCCTAGCTGACCACTACAGGCGCAAAAATAACAGTTTTGTTGCCGGTGCTGTTGGGGCTCCCGAAACAAAAATCGCGATGCGCGACGGGAAAACGACTTCAAAAACTTTTTGTTTTTGTTTTTTGAAAAGCCTACCGTCCACATCCAGACTGAAGCAAAATTGTTTCTCAAACTGGACAAATGGTGTAAAAGCGTTACACCTTTTTTGACCAGTATAAGGAACATATTTTTATCCGGTTTGGATAATGTGACAAAAACATTGTCATTTAAGGAACAAAATTGTGTGTGTACACAGGCAGTGCTTGAAATTTCATGCACACGATTCGAAGCGCTGCACGCACGAATCGTAGACGTTAATAAAATATTGCGCGCATGAATCATCGGTCGTATTATCATTAGATTAATCTTTACTGACCCTTACCGTCTTAAAAAAGTGTCTTCGTATTGTTTCCTTGCATGTGGATCATCTTCATCCATCTTAATTTCCTCGCCAATCTGTAACCAAAGAGAGTGCTTAGTACTTTACACTTTATGTCAACAGTTCTTTAAAATCATGCACACCTAATAAAAGGAAAAAAAAAAACGGAATGAAAATATTTAACGTTAAAACCGCACCTAAAAATCTGTGTTCCCAGCTCAAGAACATCTACGAAATTTAGAGCTTACGTTTCCCACTGGAGTACGTCGTTTCCACAACTTTTGTTTTATAACATTTTTTGTGGGACTGCTTTTTACAACGGCTGCTCTTAAGCCCTAGTGATTCCCATACATTTCTCCTTTAAGTAGCGGTAGTGGTAGCGCGTAAACGGCTTAAGATAGAGCAAAACGGACGAAATTTTCGCACTCTCATTTCCTTATGCACACGCTAACGGAGAATTTTGAGCTAACATATTATTATGGATCACATCACAAATTATCCATAATATGGATAAAATTGTCCGTATTACAGACAATTTGATCCATATTACAGACCGAATGTTTATTTCAAATACCACTAAAACTATAGCAAAAGTGCCATTTTTCCGCCGCGGTTTTGCCCTTTACCTAAAGGCTTACTATACCTAAAAAGAACCGCAATGATCTAACTTAAATTTTTTTGGAGAGCGTTTTTTTAAAATATAATGCGCATCTCTATTTTAAACTTGAAATAGCTGTTTTTTGCCCAAATTCTTAAGTTTTAGTCCTGTGTCACCTTTAGGCGGAAAACGGCCAAAAATCGACGGGGAATGGCATCACATTACCCCAGAAGCGCCAATGCATGCATTGCGCTTCAATGTGCAGAGAAATGCACATAAAAGGGGACACCGAAGGGGACACATTGGCGACGCCTTAATAATGCGTGTTAATGCGCACTAAAAGCGCATTTAATGCTCGCTTTAAATACCACCGGGACGCCTAAACTAAGCGTCGGCGGGCAAAACGGTTAGGGATCGTACCCATACTACGTGACATTTAGGGGGGGGGGTACAAATTTTATGGGGTCTCAAAAGGATCAGGAACAGCATTGGAGTCCATAGAGACCCCATATTATTTGTACCCCGGGGTGATGCACCAAACCACCAAAAAAGGGGTGTCTCATACGACCATTGAAGCGCATTTAATGCAGTACATAGCGCTTCTGGGGTGGGTCCCCCAGGTTCTAGGTACACATTATTTTCATTCAAAAGGGGATAGTGTGCGGTTAACCAATCAACGGATAAACAAAAATATAGTAATTTTATGATATTATTCCAACATCATTTTGACCAAGAAATAAAGATATCAACTTGACGTCATTATGAGGTCAAAATGACTCCCTTAACGGCAAAGTTGACAACAGCAAAGCAACTCCGGCGCCGACGAAAAGTATAAATAAATGGCCAAAAGCGACCAGGCCGTTTCAGTTCAAAATTCATGAAAAGTGCACTTTTCCTCAGTATAAAAAGGGGCATGTTTATTTTTGACCGCAGACCCCGGCAGCGCCTCATCTGGTAATGGGCATGAAATGCACGTAAGGCGCATAAAATGCGGAGCGAATGCGTCACCGTTGAGCCACTTGCGTCAGGGCGTCCTCCGCAACGTCGCGACGCCGCTCCCGCGGTGTTATATTCAGTTAAGAAAAGTCTACCGGGGCGGCGCGCCCCGGGGCGTAGACTGGGGGTCTGGCGGCGGCGTGGCGGAGCGTGGATCGTTGGGGTCTCCCGCCCCATGTAAGTTTGAAGGCCGATCAAACGGGCTAGAGTTCCTAGAAGAGTTGGAGGACTTCTTTGATTGTCGCGGTCTCGCTCTCGCGGCCCTCCAAGGGAACGCGCGTGAGTGGGCCTTCACCGAGGCCTTCACCGAGCGGCGCCGCGGCCGCCTCCGAACCTACGAGGGCTTCCAAAGCGCTACCCGGAAAGAGTATTGGTCTGGCACCAAGAACCTGCTCGCGAGGATCGAACTGCAGCGCGCCCGCTGGGACACCGGCATGGGCCTCGGCATGGCAGAGTGGTGTGTCACCGTCACGACGCGAACCCGAACGCGGAGATCGTGAGCAAGCTGGCCGGACACTACCCCGAGACAGTGGCTCCAGCGCCCCACCGTGGATAGCGCGAGGGCCTATCTGCGTCGCCTCGACGAAAGTGGTGAGTGGCGAGCGGCCTTACAACAACCCCTCCCCTCCGCCGGCCAGTGCCTCCAAAGTTGCAGGCTCGTGCGGGCTAATACAATCCCGCCCATGTTAAAGCATAGGCGCAAAAAAAAGAAGCCCGCAACAGCCTGCCCTTTTGGAGGCACTGCCGCCGGCCGCAGCCCCGAAAGCGCGCCCCCACCAACAGAGTGGCCGTCAAGACGCCGAGCTCCGAGGACGACGCCCAGCTCCGAGGACGACGCTGACGCCCCCGCCATCACGCTGACGAAGAGTTCGCAGGGCTCGAGCGGCCCGCGCCAGAGTCAGAGGCCCAGCAGAACCTCCACCCTTTCGCGCATCTCCGGCGCGGCGCCCCGGGGGGGGGGGGGGGGGGGTCATCAATGTTGGTAGAAGCACCGCGCACCGCGACGCTGCTGGACGCGCGTTGCGGACCAAAGGGAAAGGGGGGGGGGCTGGGCTCAGCGGGCCGCAGGCTTGCGGCCCCTCCACCCCGAGACGCCGCGATAGCCGCGCGACGCCCGCCTCGCCGACGCCCTGATCCCCGATCCCACCCGCTGCCACCAATCCGCCACCAGAAGCCCGCCAGCCTGATGGAGGCCACCGCCGCGGAGGCATCGCCTCCCCAGGAACGCCGTCAGGTCCGACGAGCGAGGCGCCGCCGCGCCGTCGCACTCTCCGCTGCGCGGCGGGGCTCTGAGTGACACCCCTCCTCCCGAGGTCAACTGGCGACCCCGGCGAGCCCGGCAGCTCGCCCCGCCCGCTCGAAGAGGAGCCCCCGAGACGAGCAACGAGTGCGAGCCGAAGCCGCCGCGCCGCGCGCTGGACGCGACGTGGGTGGTCGGATAATCCCGGTCGCGGAGGCAGACAGCCGCGGCTGAACCCTCTCGCTCGCACTCCCTCAGAAGCAGAACTTCGTCGCGGACCTGGAGGAAGAGGAACACGACTGTGCGACTATATTGTACCGGCGCCGGCAGCGGCTGCAAGGTCGGCGGGGCAGATCGCACATCTCGCGGGAGCGGTGAGAACGGGGGAAGGGGGGGGGGCGTGAGCTGACTTTCTTTGCTTGCGTTTGGTTTAGGGGGTGCTATGGTGTCCTGAGACTCGCCGCCTTAGAAACCCATGCAAAGTATAGGGGGACGTTCCCGACAGTTCAGGACCCCCTAGCACCCCTCTGACTAGACGCAAGCTTTGTAGTCATAGTCGGCACAGCGGCGACAGCTCACCGGGAACGGATACAGAGGCTCGCTAAGGCTCGCTAGAGAGACTGTCTATCAACTATAGGGTGCCCAACCCCCTCCGCTACGCACACGCGCGCGAGCCCTCGTCCTCGTGGGGCACCAGATACTGAAGTAAATGTCTTATGCCCCCCCCCCCTCCTCCAGTCTCCCCTACCCCACGCACCGTAAAGATCGCCCCATACTTAGTGCAATGGACAGTGACGTCTTACTAACCTCACTTTCTAGACACATTTTTATTTCGCTTTTCATTGTCTACGTGCAAAAAATGATTTTCACTCGCAAGGTTCTATTATGTGGTGTTGGCAAAGAACGAGTAAAATAATCTTAAAGCTAGTGTGCGATTTGGCCGCGAGTAAAGTGTAAACAAATATCTCACCGAAGGTCAGTTCTTTTTCCTATCGGCAGGAGGTGCAGTTTACGAGAAGTACACG